CCGGGGTGAACAAGTTCTCGCTGCGGATGTTCGGCTCCCAGAAGGCGGTGGAGCGCGAGCAGGAGCGCGTCAAGTCGGCCGGCGCCTGGATCATCCACCCCTACAGCGACTTCAGGCAAGCGGATTTCCCCCCCCCACCTCACCCTACCCCACCCCGAGGCAGTTACCCCGGAGCAGCTGGCGGGGGGGGGAGCAGTGCTTCCCCGACAGGGACTCCCTCGCTCCCTCCCAGAACTGGGCACCCTCGCTTTCAGCACCGGAGGCAGGGCATGACAGGCGTAGACAGAGGGGGAGTGACCTCGGGGTACTTACCTCAGGGTAGTGGTCCTCTTAGTTTCCAAGGCAGGGAGTTAGGCCCAGAAGAGGCATGGGGTTTGGAGGGAGCAGGAAGTGCGTGGTGACATCTTGCACCTGTGTTTGTGGTCCTAAAGCTGGGAGTCCCTGCCTACACCTGGGCCGGAGGCAGGGCATGACAGGCGTAGACAGAGGGGGAGTGACCTCGGGGTACTTACCTCAGGGTAGTGGTCCTCTTAGTTTCCAAGGCAGGGAGTTAGGCCCAGAAGAGGCATGGGGTTTGGAGGGAGCAGGAAGTGCGTGGTGACATCTTGCACCTGTGTTTGTGGTCCTAAAGCTGGGAGTCCCTGCCTACACCTGGGCTGTTATGTTAGTGCGTGGGGACATTTTGTGCCTGTGTTTGTGGTCCTGAAGCTGGGAGTCCCTGCCTACACCTGGGCTGTTACCTCAGTTTGTTTCCAGGGTAGTTTTATGTTGCAAAGCACGGAAGAGGTTTCAGGCCCAAGAGAGCCAGAGCTGGGCAGGGCGCACGGGGGGGGGCAGGGTGTTGTCTATGGAAACGGGAGAGGTATTGACCTCTGGTGTGCTCACTCTGGGGGTAATTACCCCAGTATTTGATGGGTGGATTTCCTCCTGGTGGCTTTGCAAGGGTTTCAAGAGGCCATGGACACCCTGCTGCAAAGCACGGATGAGGTTTCAGGCCCAAGAGAGCCCAGAGCTGGGCAGGGCACACGGGGGGGGGGGCAGGGGGTTGTCTATGGAAAAGGGAGAGGGATTGACCTCTGGTGGGCTCACTCTGGGGGTAATTACCCCAGTATTTGATGGGCGGATTTCCTCCTGGGGGCTTTGCACTTTGCAAGGGTTTCAAGAGGCCATGGACACCCTGTGTGTGTGTGTGTGTGTGTGTGTGTTGGGGGGTTGCATACAGGCAGTACCAACCTCTGAGCTGCTTGTTCCCGGGATAGTTATCATGGGGTAGTTAGTAGTAGAGAGGGAGATATTTGTGCCTGTGGAAGAGGTTTTTTTGGGGGGAAGGGATGGGTGAGAAGCAAGAGTTGTGTGCTTACCCTGTAACAGAGTGCTTACCCTGGAACAATTACCTCAGTAATGCCAGGAAGGGTTTTGAAAAAAGTGTTGCTTTGAAGAAGTTGGGACGGGTGATTCAGGGGCATAAAGCAAAAGGCAGGTGGTGTTCTAGATAAGAGATCAGGGTAGCTATTCCAGGGCAGTGATCAGAGTCGTTCCCTCAGCAGAGGCAAGAAAGGAGCTGTCCGGGTCGGTCCTCTCAGACAAACTGGGCAAAGCACCTAGGGAAGGGAGGCAATTATTTCAGGGTAATTACCACAGATATGGATGATGTAGGTTTTGTGCGTGGAGGTCAGGCCAGACTGGAGGTAAGGGAGCAGGAATTGGGGCAGATAGTCCAGGGGGGATGAGCAGGGGCAGCTGGCAATTTCCTGTGTAGGGAATGGGAGCCAGAGCAGAAATATGTGGGTTAATAATAATTACAGGGTAATTACTTCAGGTGGCTCTCCTGTCCAGCTGTCAGCTCAACGGCACCTGGGTGGGAGTTGTCTCAGGCAAGCTGGGCGAGAAGGCTGGAGCATTCAAGGCAATTACCTCAGGGTAATTAACTCAGAGGGTCGTTGACTGGATTTTCCCCTTTGCATTGGCTGCTCTGCTGGCCTTGGGCGCATTTTTTGGGTGGGGGGAGAAAAGGCTTTGGAAAGGGAACCAAGGAGGAGAAAGCTGGGGTAATTACCCCAGATATAAAGAGACGTTGAAGTGACTACCTCACAGGCGTGGTGAGAAGGCCATCGACTACCAGGCTCCTCCTTACTGGAACTTCTGAGGTCGGGCAGTGAGAGGCATCTATCGGGGGTAACTAACTCAGGGTAACTACCACCGGTTGCAGCATTTCCGGAGTGGCTGTGCTGTGGCAATTTAGGCAGTGTCCTCTGCCCTGTCTTTCTCCCAAAGGTGGCTGTGTTTCATGGAGAGATGGGGGGGTAACTCTTTTGAGACAGTGGCAAAGAGAGTTGGGTGGGACAGTGCGCCCCCCCGTACTATGTGGCGAGCGGGGGGCACTTTCCCCACCTTGGAAAGATTATGTGGGGGTGACCTGGAGCAGCTGCTTGGAGGCTGCTTTTGCGGGAGAGGGAGACCCATTCTGGGTTTTACTCCGAACTTTAACCGAGCTGCCTGAGGCACAGATGCCCTTTTGAGTCCAGTGCTGTCTCCTTGCACGCTTCGGAATAAAACTCGGCATGGATTCCCAGAGTGACAGAGCAGGGAACACGGGGACAGGAGTCTGTCGGTTTTGAGCGAGACAGAAGCGAGGGAAGGTCTGGGGTAACTACCTTGGAGTAAGGCCAGAAAAGGATACAGAACAGGGATTGGAGATGTCAGACAGGCCTCGTTCCCCTTGCTTATAGGGCCGTGGGATGGCAGAGAGAGAGAGAGAGAGAGAGAGAGAGAGAGAGAGAGACTTTCCACCTGTGATATTTTTATCATTATGAGGTGCAAAATGACAATGATTGCAATGAATGTTGATGTTGCTATTTTTGGCTGTTTAACTTCATTATACACAAAAATTTCAGCCAGTGAAAATTTCTAGAGGTTTTCTGCCATGCAAACTTCGCTTTTGCTTCAGAAATCTGAAATGGCAGCTCAGCCTCCTGTCTATCAGATTAATGTCCCATATTCCCAATGTGAAATAATAGCACAGATATGTAAGTTATACAATTCCTTCATTCTACTATAATTTACTCCTTTCCACCCTTGGGTAACTCTTTTGAGACAGTGGCAAAGAGAGTTGGGTGGGACAGTGCGCCCCCCCGTACTATGTGGCGAGCGGGGGGCACTTTCCCCACCTTGGAAAGATTATGTGGGGGTGACCTGGAGCAGCTGCTTGGAGGCTGCTTTTGCGGGAGAGGGAGACCCATTCTGGGTTTTACTCCGAACTTTAACCGAGCTGCCTGAGGCACAGATGCCCTTTTGAGTCCAGTGCTGTCTCCTTGCACGCTTCGGAATAAAACTCGGCATGGATTCCCAGAGTGACAGAGCAGGGAACACGGGGACAGGAGTCTGTCGGTTTTGAGCGAGACAGAAGCGAGGGAAGGTCTGGGGTAACTACCTTGGAGTAAGGCCAGAAAAGGATACAGAACAGGGATTGGAGATGTCAGACAGGCCTCGTTCCCCTTGCTTATAGGGCCGTGGGATGGCAGAGAGAGAGAGAGAGAGAGATGGGGTAACTATCCTGGAACAACGATAACAAGGAGATCACTGCAACAATTAGCCACCTCACTTAGGGGGTAGCGAGGGAGGGACTGGTCACCCACGGGTCATTCAGGGGCTCAGGACCACCTTGAAGGACAGTGACCCGAACGGCTGGGTGAATCCTTTGATAGGGTTTACAAAACACTCTCAGCCACAACCTGTGCTGTGCTAACGAAGGGCTGGCGGGTGGCCTGAGGTAATTAGCGCAGGGAGCTCGTGGCGCAGGATGCGTGGTAGGTTCGGGACCCTCCGCGGTAGATTTTGGAGAGGGTTCCTCCTGCACTGCAGGGAAAAGGTGGCGGAAGAGATGCGAATTCGAGGCAAGGACCTCCGTGTCGTCAGGTGCTTTCCGAGAGAGGGATGGTGAAAGTTTCAGGGAAGCATGAGGAAGACCTCAGAAGGAAGCGGTAAAGCTTTGGACCTGAGGACTAGAAACTTGACCCTTTACCCCCTGGGATCCTGTTTCCCAGAAGGAAACACTCATTTTTCTCTCCGCACTCTCCGAGTCCGACAAGGAGGACAGGTCTCTGGACGGTCAAGGGGTGGGTGGACGGTGCATCTTTGTTGTCTGAGTCCAAGGACCCTCCATGGGCCAAATCCACGTGGCAATAACGTCCCGGCGGGATCAACGAAAGGGCCTGGAAATGCCAATTTTACAAGAAAGGATGGAGAGATGATCGAGGGACGGCCCTTGAGGTGTCTATGAAAGGGAGGTTGGCCCATTGCAAATGCTTGGACATGGATAATGCTGTCCCAAAATCAGTCACAAAAGCAGCGGCACCCACGCGGGCCCCTCCATTTGCGCCGCCTCCCCCCTCCGCAGGGACACGGCTGGGGGGAGAACGCGGATCCTTGAAGATCTTGGAGGCTTGGATGGAACGCCGTTTGCATCCGGGCCCGGGATGGTGTGCTTTTCTTCCGTAACTTTGTCCCAAAGTTTAATTCTCTCCCCATTTCGTGGTTTTCCCTCAAGTAGACCTGCCCCCAAACTTCCATTTTCAGGATCTGGAAAGGGAAGAATCATGTGCTGTGAAATTAAGGACCCAGGAAGGTGATTCTAGGCTTTTTTGTGGGGGTGCTTGGGGTGTGTGTGTCATGTTTCTGTTCACCCTTCTGGAATAATTTCAGGTTGTTGTTGTTGTTGTTTTTTGTTTTTTGTTTTGGTGGCTTTGTGGGGGAAGGAATAGCAGTGAGTGGAGGAAAAACTGAAACATGGGTTTTGGGGTTGTGTTTTTATGTCTTGGAAAGATGACTCTGCAGAATCGTGGGAGGCTGAACGCATATAGGATCCAAGTTTGTAGGAAGAAGCCTGAACTGCTTGGGGGGGGCGAACCTCTGGAATCGGGAAGGGTTTCCGAGAGAGGGGCTGGGGTCAACCTCCGGTGGGGGAAGAGTCACCCGGCGGAGGCCCCAATCCTGATGGGCCTCGCTTGTTCTGAAGTAAAAACCACCTTCAGGATTGTCAAATCCTGTTAAAAAAAACGGTCGAGCGGCTGGAAGTGAATCTCGGGGGAGGCGGGGATGCTTGCCTGAGAGGTTGGG